GTGGGGGCGGGTGGGGGCGCTGTGTGCCCAACGACTCGCGGCCGCGCGGGCGCTGGTTCCGGAACGGAGGTTGCGCACGCCGCGGCGCGACGCGACGCAAGCGGCCTTTGAAAGTCCTCCCGCCCCCGCGAACTCCCGCCCACCGGGGGAATCCGGAGCTCTTCAATCGTTAATAGGGCCTGGGGCAGGGAGACGGCCACATCGGGCCCTTGCCGGCCTTGCCGGTGTTCGCAGGGACCCCAACGCTGTGGAGCTACTCGATCAGAACAGCCAGCATTCGTATTACGATAAAATATAATTCACTGACTCATGCAGAATTAAAAACTCCCTGAACAGGAATTGTTCAAACTATGTTGCTTGGAGAACGCAAATAATCTAGAGTAGTTTTGCTGCAACTATGATGTTCTTTAAAATTGAACAAGTTGTAATTCTTAAATGGATTTGTACCATCAATTTTCATCGTGTGTCACGGCAGAAATAGATCTTGTCTTTGATATAGAATTTCGTAATGCAACATTTATATTGAGAATATTATTTAGTTATTTCTTATCGCAATCAATAAAATATTTCCATGATACTTGTAATGAATTTGTGAAAATAATTATAATATAATGTTCAGCTCTTCTGTAAGTATATCTTTATAAATCCATGAACATCAAGAGTTCAAATTTGCATAAGCGGGAACTACATCACAACGATCGAATGCCGTTTGCTGGTGAACGATATTTGTCTCCTCTTTGAAATCTGTATCTCTACCACATTTCTCGTGTTTTGAATATACCACAGAATTCCCAAAAAACGCGTATTTCTTTTAAATGACACCCGCGAGAAAAACTTATTCGATGCAATATATTAAACAGCAAGAAGATGAACATGTTTCCCTAAGCCAATTACAGAAGATCATAAATGGAAAATGAAAGAATATGAATATGGAATCGCAAATTATTTTTCGAAACTTATCTCCACGCACTGAAAAAAAAATAAACAAAATTTATTATATCAGTGTAAACATATAAAAATAAAAGTTCCAACCTTAAAAGTTACTCCATAAAAAGGATTATTTAGAATTATCGTGACATTATTCACGGGAAATTCAATGTCAATATAATAAGTGTATTTTAAAACTGTGCAATTCTCGTCATATTTGCTGCAAAGTAAGAGCAAATTGTGCTGTGATAGTCCCTGTCAAGTTGTTTCCGTTAGAAACGACGAAGACCTGCCGACGCGCACCGCGCGTCTCGGATCTTCTTCCCCCTCCCCTGCAGCGCCCCACCCCCTTCCGCTTCCAAATCTATAGGGCCGCTAAGAGCGGAGCAGCGGGGGGGGCGTAGGGTGCAAGAGGGAATTCCGCGCTCTCCTAGGGGAGGAAGTGAAGAGGTGGGGAGGGGAGAGGAGAGCAGGTGGGGGTTGCGCTTCCGAGTGCCTCCTGCTCGGCCAGGGAGTGGTTTCCCGGAATTGTTTTTGGCGAAGTTTTGGGGCGCGGGATTGAGTTAGCAGCGAGGATGGCGCGGCGCGGTGGTCGAGGGGCGGATGAGAACGCCTCCGCCTCCGCCGCCGAGGGCAGCGAGGGCGTGGGCGAGGTGGGTGGGGGGGAGGTCGGAGGGTGAGGAGGGGAGGCGATCGCGAAGAGTAGCAGGAGAAAGCGCTCGTGTTGTCGCGTGGAGTTAGCGGCACGCGACACGCATGCGACCTGCCAAGGAAGCGATCGCGAGCGAGGACGATGGCAGAGGGAGTGAGGGTTCGGGAGGAAACGGGGGCCCTGGGAGGGGCTGCAGCTAATGAAGATGGCTGGCGAACTCTTCGCCCACCCCCCTCCCAACCTCCCTCGTCGCGAATCGGCGAACGCGCGAGTTCCAGATATTTCTGCGAGGGTTCGCCCCTAATTGGCTGGAACGTCGGGTCCTTTGGGGGCCATTAATGTTCAGCGATTTTACGCGTGGGGTCGTAATTGGTGAAAATGATTTTATGCTTTCCGTCTCGGCGCGCTTTTGCAAGGAAGAGTCGTGGAGTGAAGCACATAACGCGGTAGCCGCTCTTTCCTTCTCTGCGTTTGAGCGGGTGTAAAAATAAAGTTAAGAATATATGGTTATGTTCGCGCGACGAATCCGCTGGAGATTTATTTTTGAACATCTTCTTAAATCACCTCAGATGTTCCCATATTCGTTTTATAATTATATCAATTTCCAGCCCTGACCTTAAGGAAACAGCATTGTTTCATTAATGCATCAATTTCGTATTTTTTACGTATTAAAAATTACTATTTTATTGCAACAATAAATTATTATTATTATTATAATATTTTGATAAAACAGTCCGGTTGATTTATATTTCAGCTAATAAAAATCGATGAGTCTTTAAAAATATGTACAACTAAATTCTGAACTACGTTCAATTCCAAACTATTATGTAATTTCATACATGATCCTGAACACAGAAAATACGAATAATGCTCCACACAACCATACATCTTGTTCTAAATTCTGATTTCATTCCTTCTTCATTAATCCTATATAATTTCAACAGAATATCTGACGCTTTAAACCTAATGTATTAAACAATCATGTGGATTTATTTTCTGATCGCATACTTGTTTTGTTTCAGTGGTCCATCAGCCGTACGAAGTGCAAGTGTATCGAGCTCACGTCCTGCTGGGCAACACCGCAGTGCTGCGTTGCAACATTCCGGCGTTCGTCAAGGATTACGTAACGATCACTTCTTGGTTTCGAGACGACACCATCATTCTTCCTGGACGCGATGACGCCAGTAAGTTCGACATCTTCCTACTCTGAACATTAAGACGTTTCTAAACAGTAGACGCAGATTGAATTAAATCGCATACTTTTAAGTATTCTTCATAAAAAATTTTAAAAAGTGCAAAACATTATTATTAGGTAAAATAAAAACCTTTTCTTACTGATAAAGTAAAATAATCATGCTCATTTTTTTAAATATTTGAAGTAAATATAACTAAAAAATCACAAACTTAATTTGAGAAATCACAAGACTAAAGTTATCGAAAGAAACATATGGTTCTTCATAAATACATATTATTATTGCATTTCTGACAAATGCTTTTGAAATTACGATTGTCGTATGTTCGTGCAAGATGAGCACGCAACTGAGACACTGATATCAAATAATATTTAAAATGTGGCGGAATGTTCAACTTGAAATCAATGAGTTGTCCTACCGCCCGTGTATCTATAATTTAAAACAGTATTAAAGCTTTGATAGCATTCTTGGCAGAATTTGAAAATAGTGAATATAAATGAATCGCAGAAATCAAAAATCATTCATTGTCCAGGAGCCTCAAATTTGAAGAGCAAGAAAAAAGGTTCTTCGTTTAGTAGAATATCGGTCATTTTCTCTTAACATTAATAGTTGAAGAACAGCTACAGAAGTCACAGAATTCACAGACAACAAACTTTTATGCATGGAAAGTTTACTTTACATTTTAAGAACAGTTTCCCACCGTTAACTCAAAACCGGCAAAAGTGACATCAATCCTTTTTGTTTTCATCGATTCAAATAACCTGTCATTTTTTTCAAACCAACAACTGATTAATAACTAGAGGTAGAAAGATACGCAAATGACCGCAATGACCACCACTTAAAATTTCCACGCTTTAAAAAAAACATCTGCAAAAGCAAACCATTCTTCAAAGCAGCTCACTAACTTATCTCTCATGTAAAAACAAATTATACTTTCGAGGACTTTTATCATTTCAAACTCTCACCTCTTGATATTGAATAAGGGACGTTTTTAAATCCATTCTTCTCTAAACAAAAACTAGAGGCGCTTAACAGCACATACTTTCTTGCATTATTTAAAAGTTACGAAACACTATTATAATACCATTTCAGCCCTACGTTCAACTCAGCTAAAACTCACTCAATTCAAATGAAGCGCCTGTGGTTTGCATCTTCATTTATTTCGGTAATCAAGGACTCTAATCATTTCTTACTTTTAAAAATGAAAACAATTAATTTTAACTGTTACAGTATTTGCAGCACATTGCACAGAAAAGCAAGAATAATTTCACAAAAGCTTGCCTTGATTTCGTTCAAGGGAGGTTCCAACTCCTGAATACTATAATAACAATCAAAACTTCTTAAATCAGTAGAAATGTAAAACTCTTATTGTCGGGTCCTGGTACCGAAAAAGTGGATAAAACCAGTTGCTAAATATAGAAAAATTCTTCTAAGATGTGGTGTATCCATAATCTATGTTTTGTGGGTCCATGACACCGAAAAATCGATTGATGACAAAACGATTGATGACGATCGATTGATGACGTACGACTGTTGTCCGTGGCCTGTGTCACAGACACAGGCACTGTCGTTGCCTGAGGCCAACGTCAGTGCTTAAACCATTCAGCCGATTTTCTCCAAAATTGATATCCCTCGATCGATCTGAATGAACTTCAGGCTTCAGGAGTTTCAAATATTTTGATGATATTTTTCATGAAACCTCAAAAACAATTTCAAAATTGGCTCCATATATGTTTATTAAACTAACAGATGCTTAAGAGAAGGCTCCTGATGTTATGTTCGTTAAAATTTCCGATTGTTTCGAAAATTGCAAAAGTACAAATATTTGAGGCACATTCCTAAAACTAAAATATTGAAGATAGAGATTTTTCTCCGTAATTAAATATGTTCCATAATGGCAGAAATTCATATAAGTTCATGTTTAGTTTAAATATTTTTTTACCATTTTTTTCAAAAACATTTCCATTTTTTCTTTATATTTTCTCTTATGTACTAAAGGACGGTAAAAAATATGGTACTAGTCCCATTTTCGGTGAACTCTCCGTTTTTCGAAAATTGCAAAAACTTAACATTTGAAAACTAAAAATTTGAAGATTGAGATTTTTGCCTCAAAGTCTGTTGTAAAAAATTAGCTCTTTAAAAAAGTAATGTACATTTTTTTAAACTTGTAGTTTTTACGTAATTTGATTTTGGAATTAACGAAATTTCTAAAAAAAAAAATTTTAAACCTCCAATTTTTTTATTAAATATTTTTGCAGACAGAAGGGACGCTTAAATGAATGGTGTGTGTCTCATTTTCTTTGAATTATCTTCTTATTTGAAAATTGCAAATTTAGAAATATGCCTTACAGTATGTGCTATTGAGTACCACTAGTTTTAATCCCGCTACATAGACATACCTGTGCTCCTGATTTGTAGAGTCTGCAAATTTCAAATCAACACACAAAACGAAGTACGACATTTTTCACGGTTTAAGCGCTTGTTATGTCAATCACCAAGTGCTTAGTTGTATATTTTACTGTGCGTTGATTACACGAGATGCTTTTCGTAATACTTTTCACGTGAGCTTTCTGTCTACAATTAAATCTGAAAATAATTTGCTCTTACTTATGCTATCGCGGATAAAAACGATCTGTTGAAAAAGTTCTTCTGACGGCGTTATGAAAATTATACCGCCTAACACTCCCTTCATATGATAGTTTATTTTACATGAATAAGAGAAATCAAGAATTACAAAATACGCAGAAAATAAAAATGTAAAAATCGGTTGCTTCAAACTAAACCGTGGTACGCAAATTCCCAGGTATATTTCCTCTCCTTCCGGAGGAAGTAGGCACTATAATTTCACATATTATCCATGTTGTAGATAATCTCGTTCGTAGCGGGCGCCCTATTTCACAGAATTACTCCTCCTTCCGCTAGCGGAGCACGAGCTCCGTTGAAAACCAGCGAGAGGCGGAAGAGTAAAGTACCGTTCGGACGGTCCGCGTCCATATCTAGGGGGGCGCAGTTTGTTTGCCGAAGCCCTCGGCGCAGCGAGGCTTCGTAACTTTGGGGCGGTCCACCCCCGCGTCGCACAGTGGGTGGAAACGGGAGCCAACGAAATTCACGGTCATGGCAAAACACGCGAATATATATGCTTATTATAAGGCTTCCAACTTGAATATAGGTGTTGTGGTAAGATATCTTTGGCATTTTTAAAATAAATAAAGATGTTGTCATTGCCAACAATATTTTTTAATTCAATAGCAGCTTTCGATGGCTTAGCCAGCATCATCAGTTGTCTGCTAGATGGAAGCCACAAAACGACTACAGTTAATGATGAAGGCTAAGCCATCGAAAGCTGCTATTGAATTAAAAAATATTGTTGGCAATGACAACATCTTTAATTATTTTCCAACTTGAAGTTGTACTTGGCTTTTTTATCGCAAATTTTAAAACAAAAAGCGTCTTAAATTAAGCATTAAACTCAATCAAAAATAATCATTTATATACTCAATAAATTAACATTTTTATGTACCAAGAGGTGGATAGGAGAAATAGCTATACTTCATGCTTCAAAATAGCTACAACCTCTTTGACTGTGAACGCCACAATTTTTAAAATAGTTTAAAGTGCCAGAAAATGCACTTTTCACGTTTCAGATTTGAAGTATACGCGAATGTACACGCGCCATCTTCTCTAGCAGTCACGCAACGTTCACAACTCAATCACTGAATTTTATTACCGATATTTACCAACAGCTTAGAATAAAATTCAGATCCAGAAAATAACACATATCAATGTTTTCCAAAAGCGATCACGACGATTCATTGGTCACATTCGAAAAAAACTAATACATTCCCAATGTTTAGAACGTTAGATGCATAAATAGCCTACCTACTCTACTAAGGGCACTAATCCTAAATACTCTACTCTATGTGTCCTTACGTGATATAAATGAAATACATTTTCTAAAAATAATGTGTTACGCAATTCTTAAATGAATATCCCGAACAGCAGCTGAAAACCTTTTAAAATTATTATACGAAAATAATTAAACAATTCGATGGCGCTATCTCTAATTTGCATGTTCTTTCATTCGTTTATTCACATTTTACTTAAATATCTGTGACTGTTCGAACGCGTTATTCTCACAAATACCCAGCGTGCACGCGAAACTCCCACGCGCGCGATTCCGTCCATGCAGCCCACTGGGCACCGCCTCGCGTCTCGCGCGGCCGCTGGGCAGCGCCTCCGCCCGTTTCATTTACTTATCCGCGCACGACTCGCCCCAACTCGGCAGCCCTCGCCCCGCCACGGCCCGCGCGCCCCGCCCACTCCTTGCCTCGCCCCGCTCCGCCTTGTCCCGCCCCGTCCTGGTCATGGCCGAGCCCCCGCCCTCTCCGAGCCCCGCCACCGGCCCCACCCGGTCCTGACCCCGGCCTGCCTGGCTCCGCCCCACCCTGTCCCGCCCCACCCTATGCTGCCCGCCCCCACCGCCCTGAGCCTGCCCCTACCCGCCGTGCCCTCGGCCGTCCTGCCCTGCCCCGTCCCGCCCTGCTTCGCCCCTACCCCTGCCCCAACCGCACCGCCCCGCCGCAACTGCCTCCGCCACGAGCGCCAGGCCCCGTCCCCACGCTACGGCCGCCCCGTCCCTCCACGTCCTCCCCCGTGCCATCCCCGTCCCGGACCCGTCTTTAAACACCGACCCTGCCCTTTAACCCGACCCTCCTGCCCCGCCACGCGTGGACGTCCTGCCCGCCCCGTCCTGCCCCCCTCGCACGCCCCCGCCCCTCCACGGCCAGCGCCCTCCACGCCCGCGCCCCCGTCCCGCCCCGCGCTGGGGCTCGCCCGGGTCCGCCCTGGCCCGCGCAGGGTGGAGAACGCCGCCTCCGCGCTGCCTTCACCGCGACTTCCCGCACGTCAGCCTGCTTCCTCTCGCTGTCCCCTCACTGACGTCGGAGCACTATGATATTGCCTCCGCCTGTTCACAGCCAGCATCCTCGTGC